CCAATACCTTTAAAATGCAAATTCCCGGAAAATTTCCGTTTTTTTCCAATTTCCGGAAAATTTCCGTAACTTTGAAAATTTCCGGAAAGTTTCCAACCCTACGGCTGTTCTTATTAAGGGCGCTTTGGTTCCTAAATACGGACTCTCTACTAGCGGGCCTCACGCGTTCACCATAGGCGATCAAAAAAATCGTTCGAGGTGGTAGTAGGTGTGTCTTGTTGCAAAGATTTTATAATCTCTACCGTTTTTCAACATTATGAAAACCAATTTCAGGCCGGACTTCAGACTTCACAGGCCTTTTTCACTAAAAATCGTCCGTATTTAGGGAGAATGACTGTAGCTTGATGTGTCCCATAAACGCAACCACCGACGACAAAAAGTGTATTTTTCGCTCTCGAGATATCTCACTTTTATTTGCATTAACCCGCATTAACCTCTGCAACGTACCTAATAGCACCCCGTTGGCTCCTAGCAATCCTCGGGGGCAAAATGAGGTATCTTGAGAAGACGATTTTTTTAAAATAACATTTTAAGATTAAACAAAAAAAAAAAAAAAACTCCTCTGCTCCCTTTTCATTCTCTTTTCAAGTATCACTTCGGTTTTTGTTGACATATTCGAATGATAATCTCCTGAAAGGTCGCTAAAACGGCGTCCCCCCTGTATGGCAAACGGTGCGACCTATCGAAAAAAATCCTGGGGCATGGGTTTCACTAAAGAGACTTTTAACTGAAGGTATTGAAAAAAAATCCCGGGCGGAGGGGCTGTGGCATTTGTTGCGTTTCAAAATATAGCTGCCCAGGCTTTCTTAAATCAATACCCCAAAGACTTGATAAAGACATGCATTCCCAAACACCTCCGCACTACAAAGTAAAATTGGATACTCCGGGGCCGGCTATGCCAGGAGAAGGAGAAAAGCGTCCGGCGCGGGGAGGAGTGGGGCTTGGCGGGGGCAGTAGTAACCTACCTAAACAGTTAGGATGGTCGAAAATCTGTGACAACAATAGCCTCTTTAGTAAATTGTTCTTCAAGATTGTGAAGACAATCTAATCTGCAAAATACCTTTTATCCAGCTTGTTCCCTTTATTCTCTGCTGTAGGTAAAGCTGAGAGCAGCGTTGACTACCTAATTCACCAGGACAGACTATCTTCTCTGGGGTTGACGAATCCACACGGTACTGATATTGCTGCGAACTCCTACCACCGCTTTAAAGAGGATGTCAAGATGGCAGCGCGCCTGAAGGTAACCAAGCGCACCCTGCTTAAACCTAAGGGTGGATAATTTTCTCAGTCTTTCTTTCCTCGGTATATTTTACTACATATGTAAGTGAGTAAACGGTGCGCATTCTTGAAAACAACAACAGGCAAGACCGTTCAGATGCACGCGGCACAGCCTTCGCAGATGAAACGGCGATGCAAATCACTGGTGATTATGTGCACCTAGAAGAAAGAATTTTCATTTCAGTATAAGTCAAATGCAGTTGAGAACATGTACTCAAAATGTGCCTCTTGAAACTTGAACCATACATTTACTTAGTTATAAGATGAATCTGACTGCGTAGATCCGACTGCAGACGTTTTGGCCGTATGTCACGTATTGACTCATGAAAACTAAAAGTTTGTAAAAAATCTCAAAAAATAGACTTACGGCCATTCTCCGGGGCCCTAGCGAGATCCGACCTGGCACGCAAACTCCCTGACTCTACATAAACCCCCTGAAGTGCAACCTTTAAGATTTCAGGGGTTGATATGCTCAAACACTTTTGCAATAGCGTGGGCTCGTAAGAACAAGAAAGGGGACTAGGAAGCCATGATTGAAAATCTGGATTATCTTTTCAGCTCAAGGCTTTTCGTTTCTCATTTTCGTGGCCTCGGATTCTACCCACCTCTGATGCATCGAAACCTAATGACGTGGCGGTGAAACACTATCATGATTTAGTAGACGAAATCCTTTACTACAACATGACACCTCTGGTAAGTAATAATATGGCAACACGGTACGACCTTCATTCGTACAAAGAAAACAAAACGACTTGTTTTCAGAGACCTGTCGACTTTCAGTTAACAGAAAGGTTTCGTTACGGGTAAGAACTTTCTGCTGTTTAGGTGGGCAGAGGATAGACATTTCTCATGAAGTTCAAAAAAGTTACCAATTATTGTTAACGGCGAAACGAAACCACTGTGAGGGAAATTTAGTTCTAAGGTGCTATAGACAAAGTACTGTTAAATTTCTTGTTGAGTTTTTTTGCGTGGTGTCTTTTTAGCGCGCGCGGAGTGGACTACTAATAGGAAGTTGTTGGCTGAGCGATTAGCGAAGCCTATTACTCCGTCTGGACAGAAAAAACTTTTTCTGTCTGTCTGTCTGTGTATCTGTCGCCACGAAAACTCGAAAACGGTAAAAGGCAAGCCTCCTTGCCCACCCCCAACCGCACTCTATCTGGTTGTGTTCTGCTCAATTACGAGCAGCGCTCCGTTGAAATTTTCTATTGAATCCCACGGTTCGAGGTTTAGAGCTCATCGCTGGTGCTATTTACATGTTGTTAATGTATCCTTTTTTTCCACTTTTCAGGCAACATTGTACCACTTTGACCATCCCCAGAGTCTCGAAAGTTTCAATAGTTGGTTCGGGTACGAGATGGTAGAACATTTTGTGGAATATGCAAAGTTCGTATTCAAGGAGTACGGATCCAAGGTAGGAACGCCTGTGGCTCCTTATCCGAGTAGCGAGGCGTACTAACTGAATGCCGGTTTCACATGTGTGGGGTAAGAAAGAGCGGGGTAACAACCTATGATACTTTACTTGGCCTTGGTTACATCGCCTGAAATAGCTGATTTTGAAACTGTTTCTACAAATAACAAGAAGTAGAGTTGAAGAGTTAAAAATACCGAAGCTAGGGCTGGCGGCTTTAAGGTTATTAGTTGATAATTTAATCTTGGCACTTTTGGTTTAAGGGGCAGCATCCCCGAATACTTTGCGATCTCCGGAGACACGATACGGCCACCACGGTTAAAACTGTAACGGAGTCTTTTCTCTTCTCTACACCAGGTGAAGATGTGGTCTACAATAAACGAACCCAACATACTGTGCACTTTCTTTCCATTGCTGTACAGAAAAGCAGGCTTTAAGTTAGACACAGAAATGGATCACTTGGTTTGCCAACGCCATGCTTTACTGGCTCATGCAAGGGCGTATCGCGAGTTCAAGAAGTTAAATCTTTCAGGTAAAATGTTCTTTACACTTCTCCTTTTGCAGCATTTTTGCTGCGCCAAATTAATTCCCAAGCTTCACCATTAAGATTCAATTTATAGCTTTAAAAGCTTACATCTGTCAAGAGGCGCCCAACAGGACATTGAAAAACGAAAACCTCAAAACATAAAACTACGGATAGTTTTACGTCGGTAAACTGGCCATCGAGCGATGAAACAAATAGTCACATTTCGTACGTGCGTACGATTACAATTCCGATACCGGCACGGTAGCCTTAGTCTTTTTATCGATACTGTCTCAACAATCCCAAGACGGTTCCATGTAGAGTTCTTGGTCGATATTGGTTCATTAGTACCGAAGGAGTACAAATATCGCTTTTAATTTGACTTAACTTGAAATCCCCGATTGTAGTTTAATGCTCGATTTTGTATTCACGCCTCGAGCCAAAACGGACATCGACACTTGGGTTACTTTTGCTTACTTTCAGAAACACTTTGAATTTCAAAATGCTTCTTATGCTGGAAAGTAAGTTTTGTCCATACAGTGTAGAATCTCTACAATATGTTTTCCAGTTCGTTGTTCGAGTCGAGACATACCCCTTTCCTCTATTTAAAATAGCCTTAAGAGTACGTGTGTTCCTTATCAGGCCAGGTTGGATTGAGTCTCGCGCTTCTCCCGGCGATACCAAGGTCGACGCGTGCGGACGACATTTATGCTGCTTACGTCCTTAACGAGATGTTTGCCGGCATCCTATATAACCCTATCGTTTATGGTGATTATCCACAGGTACGTAACTTAACACCGAGCACCAACATGTTTTACAATGTTCCTACCCTAAAAGCAATCTGATGCATGTCAACGCGAGATATCGCACTGCGCCTGGCAGGTGTGCACTGAGCAGTCCGGCAGCTGATTAAACCAGTCCGCAAATCTGAGGAGAAGAAAACGGAAGTCCAAACGTGCTCTGCTGCGGTGGATGTAGAAAAAAGACGCAAGGTGTTCACCATAGTTGACCACACATCATATGGAACTAGGCCACCTGCCGGTCGACAGGCCGCGCTGCCCGCTGAGACGTTCTGAGCTGTACTTTCTTGTTTGGGCTAAGTGCTGTATTCGACTTCCCCAACATTTTAAGTTTCGGTATTTTCTATATGACACGGGCCGTAACCAAAAAGTACAGTGCCGGACCAGGCAGCAAATTTACAGCGCAGGCCGTAGGTCTTTACCGTGTGTTTTCCTGACATTGGCAGATGCTTTAAATTTACCCCCTGCGGAGGATGCGCTTTACCAGAAAATAGTATCCTTAAACCAAGGAAAATTCTCTAAAAATATTACAAGAAAACGTTTGTCCTTATTTTCTGGCACTCCTGTTGTTTTCAAGGAAGTTAAGTTAGTCCAAGGGCATTTTTACTTCATTCTAACCAGAATTTTATCAGCGAAAGAAACTTTTCTTCTATTCATTTCAGGTTAAAATAGCGTTGAAGCAAGGCATTTCGCCTTGTTTTATGGCAAAAATTTTCTGGGTGTTTCCCTGTCAACACTCTTGTTTCGTTGTAGGTTGCCAAGAAGGTGGCTGCTGGTCGCCTACCGCTGTTTAGCGAAGAGGAAAAGATCCTACTAAATGGTGCGTGCACTACTCTAGATGGACGATCCACTCCTGTATTGCTGCATAATGACTTGACGTGAGACCGATCCTGTAGTAAGAATGGCTAAAGTTACTACTTGCTAGGAGAAGTGCGAGAGAGCCAATGAAATGGACACTGGCTTGACGTTAGAAGTTGTTACGGCCTCACTGATGATTGTACATGGGAGTTAAAGTCCACTTGAGCTAATTTTTTAGCTAAATGTGTGCCTAATTCTAAGCTGGCTGTTAAATTTTAAAGCAAGATACCTCTATTATTCCCAGAAGTTTTCGTTTAAGGGTGCTTTACTTTATTACGAAACATATGCAGCTCTATCTCAATTAGAACAGCTTTTAGTGTGACTTATGTCTTTTGATACTCCCCCGTCGATCTGACAGAGGAACACAAGTCCATGGATGAGCTGACAAAAGATAGAAAGTCCACCAGTGGTATTTGACAGGGGAACATAAGTCCAGACATAATTTGACAGAGGAACCTAAGTCCGACACGAAGATTTGACACAGGAACATAAGACCAGATGTAGCTTCACAAGGAAAAATAAGTACATTTGTACATTCAAAAAAAAGAAGAAGTTTTCGAGGTCGGTGCTTTTAATGATAGATTTGACCTTGTAATGAAGGTAGGTACAAACATGGACGCGATCGGACAACGTTTTCCCGGCGCGCATCGTGATTTTCGTTTCAGGAGCCCAAACGGCCTTTTACGCACCGCCATGCTGAAGGCATTGCAGCGCCGGCTTGGTGCGCCCATAGAAGGTGTTTTGCAGCTCATGGGTGACCTTAAGGACCCTGCTTCTGAACCGGCTAGTAACGTCTAGTGTCCAAACCCCCATGTGGCCGTCAAGGGCTTAAGTGTCTTGACGAACACCGGTTCAGAAGCACGGTCCTTAGGGTCACATATGAGCTGCAAAACACCTTCTATGGGTGCACCAAGCCGGCGCTGCAGTGCCTTCAACATGGCGGAGCGTATAAGGCCGTTTGGGCTCCTGAAACGAAAATCGCGATGCGCGACGGGAAAACGTTGTCCGATCGCGTCCATGTTTGTACCTACCTTCATTACAAGGTCAAATTCATCATATAAAGCACTGACCTCAGAAATCGCCGAATTGGAACCGAAAAAAGGAACGGCCTAAAGTCCACCAACAAGATTTGACAGAGGAACATATGTCTTCCCCTACAGGGAATGGCTGGTGTTGTAGAGTATGAGCAGTATGTTGTCCCAGGTTCAGTCAGTATATTGTCAAGGTTAAGCCGTCCACTCGAAGACACTCGCTCAGGAGAAGCGTATCCACTTCACAAACGTGAAGTTCATCTCGTTGTGTTCGACAAACACCGACAACAGGTAACCCATTCAAATATTCGCGAATTGATACTAGCAGATTTCATCTGTAACTTCACAATAAGAGAGTGACTATATTTAAATTTATCTGCTGGTTCTGCTGTGCTGTGCCTAGTACCACACAAAAACATGTTATGCTTAAATAAACAATTGCAAGTTCAGTCGGCTGCAGCAGACGACTCTCGAAAGTCGACACACAACACGAAATAGGGGTTAAATAACGTAGATGTTGTTAAATGTGTTGTCATGGTACGCGAATATTTAAATCGGTTACCTTTTGTCGGTATTTGTCGAACACCACGAAAATAACTTCACAACGTGTGTCAAGTGGATGTGCTTCTCCTGTGCAAGTGTCTTCGAGTGGACTACTTATCCTACACAACATGCTGGACCCAGCGAAACATTCTGTGAGTGCTCCACAACACTAGCCATTCCCTGTAGGGGCCTCGCAAATGCGTTTTTCTTAGTGAGCAGTGGTGATTCATCATTTTTACAATGTCTTATGAAGTCTCTATACACTTACTTCTAGCTATATGTACGGTACGCTAGACCACGTCTCGCCTACCAGGCTTCGCGATACGTATCACTGTTACGCTGCGACGCGCCTGACGCACATATTGCTAGGGCTGCGGCACTGACACCAGAGACGGCTTAATGGGAGAGTATACCTGCCGGCCTCCGATTTGACATGTTGACAGCTTTCGTCGGGGACTTTCCACTCCAAAATTAGGTACATGAAACTTTTGATACTGATGTTCATTCAATGTTCTAATTTGACGGATGGTTACGTTAAACCAACGTTTTAGTGATAGTAGATAATCAAGGATCCCTTGAGCCCAAAGAAGGATGTGGTTCGACGCCAAGTGTGTGGTCTGGTCTGAGTATTACTCCCTTTACAATTTTTTGGCTCAGCGATTAGCGAAGCCTAAAACTCCGTCTGGTCGGAAAAAAAATTGTCTGTCTGTCAGTGTGTCTGTGTGTCTGTCCGCACGATAACTCGAAAACGGATTGAGCTAGCGACCTGGGATTTTCAGGGTTGTTTTGTAACTATATAAAGACAGGTCGAGTTTGAAGATGAGCATTCTAGCTCAAAAATTGAATTTTTTAAAGATTAAAAACAACTGGTCCCAAAAATGACTGTTTGAAAAAAAATCTTTTAATGGTTTCTTAGGGGGTAAGCCTTTCGGAAAAAAATTTCTCCGTTTTCCTCAAGCGCAAACCGCTGAGGCGCTAGAGGGTGTTTCCAACGAAAGCAAGCGAAAAAAAAATGGGCAACCCTGCATGCTTATTTAAAGTGACGGACCGTCGTTGACAGGCCGGAGGCCCGTATCCTTGTGTACATTTTTGCACTACCCGACTCGGGTGTCAGCGCCGCAGGCCAAGGTAGATGTATGCCACGCGCGTCGCAGCGTAAGTGTTTCGTGAGATATCGCGAAGCCTGTTACGCGAGACGTGGTCTGGCGTACATCTACCTTGTAAATATGAAGCGTCTTTTACGATTTATTAGGATATTATGTAATTTTCACCTTATTTTCCCCAAGAAATGCCCTCTACCACCCAGACGCTACAAGATAGAGTACTAGCTATATGTACGCCAGACCACGTCTCGCGTAACAGGCTTCGCGATATCTCACGAAACACTGTTACGCTGTGACGCGCGTACACATATAGCTAGGTCTGCGGCGCTGACACCCGAGGCGAGTCAATGGGACGGTATTCGGGAACAGGGCCTACCGGCACCAAAATTTGACATACTGACAGCATATGTTGGGGACTAGTTACTCTAAAATTAGTGACAGGAAACTACTTCTGTTCGATGAAGGTTTTCATTAAAAGTTCGAATTTTGACAGATTGTTATGTAAAAATCAACGTTTTAGTGATACTAGGTAATCTAGGGACACTTAAGCCCAAAGGAAGGTGTAGTACGACCCCTAATGTGTGGTTTAAGTATTACTCCCTTAACAATCCTGTGACATGAAGCCTATTTTACGATTGAATAGACCGTTTTGTCTTTTTCACGTTCTTTTCGCCAATAAATGCCCCACAGCACCGAAACAGGACGAAATTTTCGTGCGCAGGGTTTTACTTTCATGAGTTACCCCTTAGAAGCCCATAAAAAAATATTTGAAAAAAAAATGCGGCCTGTGGCCTGTGGTTTTCGATTTTTTTTTAAGTTAATTTTTGAGCTGTGATGCTCATCTTCGAACTCGATCTGTCTTTTTGTTATACAGAACGACCCTGAAATTCCCCGATCGCTCTTATAATTCTTTCTCGAGTTATCGTGTGGACAGACAGACAAACAAACAGAATGAAACTTTTCCGGTCAGTAGAGTAATGGGCTTCGCTAATCGCTCAGCCAATCACTGAATATCGCCTGAATACTGAAGGTATTAATTCCCTCGTGAACCGTGAATACTAGAAGTCACTGCCCCCTCGTACTAAGTGCACACAAGGTTTGCTGTGTAAGTTAATATTTCCCCCATCTGAATAGGGTGCTACACCTGGACTTATGTTCCTTTGTCAAATATTTGTGGTAGAGTAAGGTTCCTCTGTCCGATTATGTCTGGACTTTTGTTCCTCTTTCAAATCCCACTGGTGGACTTACGTTCCTTTGCCAGCTCATTCATGGACTTATGTTCCTCTGTTAGAGCTCTGATGGACTTATATGTCCCTTTCTGACTTTTCATACAAGCAAAACGGTTCAAGATATCAACATGACGTTCACTGTTAGATCATATTTTGATTCAAGCACAAGCATATTTGTACTAGGGTTTGATGTTGATTATATTTTCTATGGAAACGATGCAAAAGTATCATTTGTATAAACTTACTAATCTACGAATAAGAATATTGCTCAAAATACCCGGCTTGGCAAATTTAACCACTGCAGCAGTTCAACCTGAAGGGTGGTTTTCACATTAAGGCCAGCTTTGGATGCACCCGATGGACCGTGTTTTGCTTCACTCGGGTGGTTGTGCGGCCACACCACTGTAAGTTACTCTTAAATCATAGCAAGCTAATGTATGATATTTGTTTCTTGGCAGGTACCGCGGACTTTCTCGGCTTTAACATTTACAACGGTCTGACTGCTTATTGGCAAACCCCCGACGAAAGCAGCAAAAAAGAGGTGTCTGTGCCTTTGGGTCCTACGATTGATCTACTGCCGTTTGTACAAGTAGATTTCCCTAATATGGTCGGTAACGACACTGCCGACTTCTATGAGAAGGTAGGGTTTCACAGTCCAAAATGTGTGACACTATTACTTTACAGTCTTATCAATAGGGTGCTACTCCAAAGCCGCGATAGACCATTCCGCTGAGCCGAAAAAGAAGAGAAGCAAGAAGCAAAGGTATCGTTTAGGGCTGATAGGGCCGATTTGTGATGGATTTGATGTCTTAAAAATATCACATTTGCCATTAAAAATCATTTTGAACATGTAAGAGTTGTAAAATGCTGCGTTAGAAGGTCCTTTAAGTCCTAAATTATATATTTGCTTCTTCCTTATCTTCTTCTTTTTCGGCTTAGCGGAATGGTCTATTGGGGTGCGCTGGAGCGGATGCAGATCAAAAACAGAAGGATGAAAGACGCCCGCACCGCATCCTGACCCCACCCCTGGTCCTGGGTAGGAGATCACCTGGCAAATTAGGGAACGGCTCGCCACGGTCAAAACGAGTCCTGGGATCCCTAGGAGATGCCCTGAAAACAAGCAATAGACATTTTCGACAGTAGTTGAGGTTAGAAACAATTCGGAGGCTGCAACTTTATTCTTTTAAACTGTCTGAAATTTTCGACTTCGTAGCGCAACAACGGGACTTGTTCCTTTGAGCTACTGAGTCAAAATTTGCTATTAGGGTTCAATGAAAATGTTGCCTTTATACTCTTCACCCCCCTCACCCTACCGTCGAAAAGGTCTATTATTCCCAGGGGAGCTACTGGGAAACCCAGGACATTCCCTGGGGAAAATGCACGTTTCCAGGACATCCCCTGAGGCTTTCAAATTTCCCTGGAAAACGCGGAAAACTCCTGGGAATCCCAGGGCTTGTCTTTACCGTGCGTGAAATTTATACCTTCAATTTTTGTTTTTCTACAACCGCCGCAGCACACCTTGTGAGTGCCCTACTATTCTCAAATTTAAAACCGTGCTTGCAGGCGAAGCCAGACGCAATCCGAGAAACTTTAATATGGGTATGGCAAAATTATAAGAAACCGATTGTTGTCTCAGAAAACGGGTTTGGAGATTGTCTGGGCCATGGGAAAAAAGATCAGCTACGAGCAGCCTACCACAGTGTAAGTATAAATATTACATTATACGCTAACAGTATACTCAATGTCACTTGGTTTAAATCGTATCCAAGAAAAACAGTGCTGCTTCCTGCAGTATTTCGTGGCTGACGCTCGTTAGCTGACGTCGACGAAGTTCTCCGAACCTTGACAACGGTGGTCGTGGAACTGGTGGCAGGTTCTTTAGCTTCTTCCGCGTCAGGCAATGAACCAGTTCACACAAGTGTGTACTATGGCATGCATGTACGAGTATGTGTGTGCTTGAATGTTCACTCTTGTACTAAGTCGAAGGGGCACCAACTCCGAAATCTCGTGCACCGTAATAGTGAATACTAGCTATATGTACGCTAGACCACGTCTCGCGTAACAGGCTTCGCGATATCTCACGAAACACTGTTACGCTGTGACGCGCGTACACATATAGC